GTTTGCTAGCTAATAAAAGTTAGTTGTTTAGTAGAAAGGTTTTTGTCACACAAGAAAGTTATTTGTCCCTAGGCAATCGATAACTAGATCGGTAATCATTATTGCAATTTTATATGAGGGAGAGGCATGAGCTAACATACTTTCCATACTTGGATCATATGCACTTATGATTGGAATTGTAGCAAGCATCCGCAACTAACAAAGATCATTAAGATAAAACCCAACCATAGCATTAAGTATCAAGTCCTCTTTACTCCCATACGCAACAACCCACTTACTCGGGTATAAGCTTTTGTCACTCTCACCACGAATCATGAACGTATTGCAACACCCTACAGCGGGAATCCCTCACGCTTGCGTGACACGGAGGGCACCAAAATAAAACATACAACTCAAACCAATCACGATCATCAATCAACCCATAGGACAAAACAAATCTACTCAAACATCATAGGATGGCCATACATCATTGGGAAATAATATATAGCATGAAGCACCATGTTTAAGTAGAGATTATAGCGGGGAGAAGAGGTGTTACACCGCTGCGTAGAGAGGAAGAGAGTTGGTGATGATGACGGTGAAGTTGTTGATGTAGATCACTATCACGATGATTGCCTAGGCTGCGTTCCGGCTCCACCAGGAGAGAGGAGGAGGGAGCCCCCTCCTTCTTCTTATTCCTTGGCCTCCCCCTAGATGGGAGGATAGTTCCCCCTCTGATCCATGGTCTCCATGGCAGTGGAGGGGCGGGAGCCCCTTTGAGATTGGATATCTCTCTCTCCCTATCTCTGTTCTCTTCTGTTTCACGTTCCTGTTTTCTGGCCCTTCACCATTTCTTAAATTCTCGGAGATCCATAACTCCGATCGGGCTGGAAGCACCGGGCTCCCCTTGGCGCGCCCTGATAAGTAGTGGGCTCCTCGAGCACCGTCTTGTGTTGATTCTTCTTCCAAAAATTCACATATATTCCAAAATAAATCTCCGTAAAGTTTTATCGCATTTGGACTTTGTTTGATATGGATATTCTGCGAAACAAAAAATGCAACAACCACGAACTGACACTGGGCATTGGATCAATATGTTAGTCCAATAAATCATATAAATTGTTGCCAAAAGTATGTGAAGGTTGTATAATATTGGCATGAAACAATCAAAAACTATAGATACGACGGAGACATATCCATCCCCAAGCTTAATTCCTGCTCGTCCTCGAGTAGGTAAATGATAAAAAAATATGTTTTTTAATGTGGAATGCTACCTAGCATAATCTTGATCATATAATCTAATTATGGCATGAATATTAAGACACGAGTGATTCAAAGCAATAGTCTATAATTTGACATAAATACATCAATACTCAGGCATCCCAACAAACAGTCATGTCTTTCAAAATATCAATGCTAAAGAATGTTATCCCTACAAAATCATATAGTCTTGTCATGCTCCATCTTCTTAACATAAAGTATTTATCATGCACAACCCCGATGACAAGTCGAGCAATTGGTTCATACTTTTTAACGCGCTTCAACCTTTTCAACCCCCACGCAATACACGAACGCAAGCCATGGACATAGCACTATGGGTGGAATAGAGTATGATGATAGGGGTAAACATAGAGAAGACAAAAAAGTAAGGAAGTCTCACATCGACATGGCTAATCAACGGGCTATGGAGATGCCCATCAATTGATATCAATGCGAGGAGTAGGGATTGCCATGCAACGGATGCACTAAGAGCTATAAGTGTATGAAAGTTCAACATGAAAACTAAGTGGGTGTGCATCCAATTTGCTTGCTCGAAAACCTCGCGCATTTGAGGAAGCCCATCATAGGAATATACAAGCCAAGTTCTATAATGAAAATTCCCACTAGTATATGAAAGTGACAACATAGGAGACTCTCTGCATGAAAAATATGGTGCTAATTTGAAGCACAAGTGTGGTAAAGGATAGTAACATTGCCCCTTCTCTCTTTTTCTTTCATTTTTTTTACTTTTTCTTCTTTTTTTCTTGGACTCTTTTTGGTCTCTTTTCTCTCTTTTTTTATTCCTTCCGGAGTCTCATCCCGACTCATGGGGGAATCATAGTCTCTATCATCCATTCCTCGCTGGGACAATGCTCTAATAATAAATAATGATGATCATCAGACTTCTATTTACTTACAACTCAAAAGAAATAAAAATTATAACTTGATACCTAGAACAATATGACTCTGTATGCATGCCTATGGCAATGTACCGGGATGTGCAATGATCTGGCATGGCAAATATATAAAAAAACGGACAAGCCATGAAAATACCATGCTAGCTGTCTTACGATCATGCAAAGCAATATAACAATGAATGCTCAAGTCATAAAAACGGAACGGTGGAAGTTGCATGGCAATATATCTCGGAATGGCTGTGGAAATGCTATAATAGGTAGGTATGGTGACTGTTTTGAGGAAGATATAATGAGGCTTATGTGTGATAGAGTGTATCATATCACAGGGTTTGGATGCACCGGCGAAGTTTGCACCACATCTCGAGGTGAGAAAAGGGCAATGCACGGTACCGAAGAGGCAAGCAAATTGCGAAAAGGTAAAAGTGCGTATAATCCATGGACTCACATTAGTCATAAAGAACTCACATACTTATTGCAAAAGTTTATTAGCCCTCGAAGCAAAGTACTACTACGCATGCCCATAAAGTTTTATCACGTTTGGACTTTGTTTGATATGGATATTTTGCAAAACAATAAAATATGCAACAAATAGGAATTGACACTGGGCACTGGATCAGTATGTTAGCCCAATAAATCATATAAATTGTTGCCAAAAGTATATGAAAGTTGTATAATATTGACATGAATCAATAAAAAATTATAGATATGACGGAGACGTATGAGTCATCCAACGCGGACCTGTATCGGTCCGCAAGACGGTCCGGACGTACATTATCCCACAAACTGGAGACAAACGTGAGAGGGCTTTGCGAGCGTCTAGACAACACCCACGCCCGCTTCTGACCACCTAGGCCCACCCAAACCCCCTCCTCCCTCGCCCGCGCGCGCTCTTGCCCGTCATCAGCTGCCCGCATTCATACCACCATAGAGCGGCCACTCCACATTAAGCCCGCGCAGAGTGGGTGCGACCTCTCACTGGTCCTGCCATTGAAGCGATGTGCCGGCCGAGACTGTCGCCCGTTGCATACCTAGCTGAACACGCCTCCTCGTCGCATTCAAACGCCTTCATTAAACCCATGCGGAAGATGAGAAACCTACTTCAGCCACACGTCTGTTCATGAGCGAGTTGACATTAAACACAACACTGAGCAAGCTCTTTCCTCGCCCGCTATTTAAAGTAGTCCAGATGCCGGGCAAGAATCACACCACTCCCCATCTCCTCCTCGCACCATTTTCTCCACCCTTTTGATGGCATCCGACGAGCAGGAAGAGTAGTTCTCCGGCGTAAACTCCGGTTGCGTGACCCGCCGAGCCCGCCAGATACGAGCGAGGCAGCTCGCTGCTCCACCTCCCTCGCCTATCCTGACGGAGCAAGTTGCCGTCCGAAGCTGGCGCATGGTTCAGTAACTCGCCGCTCCAAGCCAGCTCATGGAGGAGTAACGAGTTGCTCCAGGCCAATACGGACAGGGAGGGGGGAGCACAGCGACACGGGCATCGTGGCTGCCATGGAAGACGCCGCGTCGTACCATGCCTCACGTGCATGCGACCGCGCATGCTGACATCAACGCACGCGTAACCGCGCCCTGCCGACAGAGAAAGAAGCCGGCTATGCGAAGATCGATGAGTCGGTAGCCAGCACGCCCGCGCATGTCACCTTCATCAAGGAGAAGTAGAACAAGGGAGGCCGCCGCTGCTTGGGTCCCAGGAAGGCCACCGTTAGCGTGTCGCCGACTTGTACAACCCATGACTTGGTCGGTTCTTTATCTTAGACCATCGTCGAATCCCGCCTGGGCTCCACGGAAGCGGAGGCGCCCCCTTCCCCTCCAGCT